GAAGACACCAGCACCTGTTTCAGTTTTTATCTCTGCCCCAAGCCCTGATGCTGCTCCCGAGTGTCTTTTGTACCCAGATGAACACACTATCGGGTACTTTGACCTCCATATCTCGTCACCTTTAGCTCTGCTTCCCAGCAGAAAACCCCCTCTTGCCCTCAGTGGGCCTTATTATTACCCAGAGCTGTGCCACTTCTGGAATCCTCAATTCAGACTTCTGGTTTTGGACTACATTCGCCTAGTTATTCCCCACCACACCTCTTCTTCTATCTTCCTGAATCTGCTAGACTATCTCTGTCCGAAAGAACTTTCTATGATGATGTTCTTTATTGGTGCTATCCAAATCATGGGCAATTGTGAAAGTGAGCTTTAAATTATATTTAATTTTAATTCATTCAAGTTGAAATAGCTACATGTGGTTACTGGCTATTGTATTGAACAGCACAGGTCTAGCCTCTCTATTTCCTCTCCTGTCCATGCCCTGTCTTCATTTCCTTCTCTCTTTAGCTTTGTCTCCATGGTCCATCACATCAGCCACTCTCTTCCCCTTGTCCTTCTGTCTCACCTCCTGGAACAAACCCTCAACTTTAGATTAATCCAATTATTTTGCTTTCTCTAGGTCTACACAGGGGGCTGCTGAACCCTGCTGAGGGGAGGGGAGTCCTGTGACTTTGCTGGTTCGCATTCTTTCTCATAGATAATCGCCAACTTCAATAGGACCTTTATCTGTCCAGCAAACATTATCCTCTTTTCTGTAATGACCTAATCAAACCCTCTCCCCTGTCCTAAACCTTCAATGCTCCCACCTGTTCACTCACTCTCAGCAGGTGGTGTCACTTCCTAGTCCACTGAAACAAGGTAAGCTTTCAGACCCCCTGATCAATTTTACAAAGCTGGTTTTAAATGTCTTCAACCTTTCTCCTCCTGCTCCTTCCTATCAGCATTTAGGCGTGTTTAAATAGCCTTATCTTATAAACAATAATTAAAAATCCCAATCTTCCCTCAATCCCATGCCACCTTCCTGCTATCACCCTATCTCTTTCCTACCACTTGTTTTCACACTTCTTGAAAGTTGTCTACACTCAGTATCTCCACTTTCTCACCTCCCATTCACTCCATAACCTGAGGCAGTCTGGCTTCTGTCCCCACCACTCTTCTACCACTGCCAGTCAAGGTCACCAATGGCTTCCTTGTAGTTTAATCCAAAGGATTCCTTTCAGATCTTATCTTGACCCTGAAGGCATGTGACATTGCTCACTGCCCCTCCTTCCTTGAAACTTGCCTGTTGGTTTCTAGGACACCGGAGTCTCCTGTTTTCCTCCTCCTATTCTGGCTACTTCTGAGTTTTCTTGAAACTGCCACATTCTCCTCTTCCTAGGGTGATCCTGGGCTTCAGGTAAGGCTGGGTGCCAAGAATGGCAGCTTCCCCTCCCGACATTCCTTGAAGAAACACATGGGAATTTGCTTTCTCACCCAAGAGCCACACTGTTGTGTTTTGAACTCGGTTGTATCATGGATCCCGCTGCTTAGAGCCTGACAGGCCTTTGTGGGTGTGTATTTATAACCCCCACTTTGAGATGCTCTCACAACACTTGGACATCTGTTTTTTTCATTTGTCCCCTCAAAAGGCAGTATGTTTTAGGAAGGGACACTGACAAATTAGAGGGCTTTGGGAGAGCCTGCGGAGTAGTCAGAAAACAATGTCCTGTGAGAAATCTTTTGTCTAGAAATATACAACTGAGGGATGATAGGGATCTGATTTCAAAAATTTGAAGAGGCAGAACCTTGGTCTGGGCTGCTGTGTCAGGCTGGAATTGGACCAACTGTATAAGTGACAGGGAGGTGGGTTAGAATGGAGGTAGAAAAGTTCTATTGTGTCCATAATGTTCCAGACCGCCAAGATACAAGGTGAGACAGTCCTGTCCACCAGGAACTACTAAAGAAGATAAGCTTAGGCCTAAGTGACCACAATAAAAATGGAAAGCCCTTCCGCCCCCAACGCCCCTCAGCTCAGCTGGCAATGTAGAATAGCTGTACTCCAAGGAGGGCAGTTTCAAACTTGCTGCCATGCAAGACCCATCAGAAGCTCTGCAGACAGAAACAACAGCAGCAGGAGGAAGTCTTGGAGAGCACTCGCTGATCCAGTCTTGCATATACCACAAAATAGATCCAAGAGGGCTGGGTGGTGAGCTGTGTATCCCGATTTGCCTCTTTCAGCCCCCTCCTTGTCAGTGTGTCTTTTCCTGTGTTTTTGTGGGATGCCATCAGCTGGTATCATGGGCCATCCCAGAAACTGCCCCACAGAGCTCTCTGCAGTGACTGTTAAGGGGATGTTGCTGAGGGTGTTGGCTCGTTACCTCACACTGTGTTCCCTTTATGAGGCCCCCCGGAGAAATTCCTGTCTGATTTTAGTACCAAGAATAGTTGTAATTCTCTTGAGTAATAGGTCTGTTTTCATCTCGTGGACACCGGGAATTGTGTAACTGACATGGTCTCCTTTTCACTTTGACTGCCGGAAAGCTTAGGGACAAATTTGTGGCCCACCCACAGGAGGTGAATAGGGCATTCCAGGGAACATTTTAGCTTTATTCCCTTCTCTACTTGGTCTTCCCTCTTGTTTATTCTTTCTTCTCTTAGCTTTTCCTCTTATTTTACTACACAAAATCAAGAACATACAAGCAAAAAAAAAATCACCTCTAACCTCACTATCCAGAAATAACCACAATTAACAATATTGTCTGTATGCATACTTTTTGAAAAAAATAAAAATATCTGTGCATAGTGTTTTTTGGGTATACTGTTTTGTAATTTGCTTTTTTCATTCTATGATTTTATTAATTAAATGTATTTATGAAATAATGTAAATTTCTATAGAGATCTAGCAATTTAATACTAAGACCTAACATTTTTACATCCACTTACTGTGTGCCTGGCTTTATGTATATTTACATATGCATATGTGTGAAAGTATATTCATGTAGATTGTATAATATGCATATTGCAAGCTATAATATTGATATGTGTTAACTCATTCGATGCTCACAACCCTATGAGGTGGGTATTATTATATCTCTTTTACAAATGAGGAAAACAAGGCACGGAAAGATGCAAAACTTGCCAGCATCACACTCTTGGTTCCAAAGCACATCCTCCTAACTGCTCTGCTGCCTTTCATATCATTGGGATTTCACAGTCCACCGTGGTTAAACATTTCATTTACCTCCTTTCACCTCACTTTCTAACTTATGTTATTTTGTCATGTTTTAAGTACCTTTGTAAGTCACCTGAAATCCTCTCTGCCACGGGTAAGGCATAAACAACCAGGGCAGAGAGTGGTGATGGCACAAGAAGGCAGAGCTAAAAGCACTACCCCAGGGAGAGGATGGACCCAGGCTGTCCTGCGATGGAATGGATTTATTTCCTTGGGCTGTGTGAACTCCCATGCCTGGAAGAGCTGGCTTGGGGGGCTGTCTCTAACAGAGGCCGAGAAAGGCGTTCTTCCAAGGAGATTGAGCTGGGCCAGATGAACCTAGGACCTTTCCTAGTCTGAGAGTTTATGAAAATGCCAATAAGACAAAATGAGGCATTTAATGGAGCTAACGCAGCAAGTCAGCCATTGGGCCAGAACCAGGACCCTGGGCTTTCAATCCAGACCTATTACTAGTAGCAAATAAACCAACACAAATTTAGTTCCAAACTTTCAGTCCAGTGCGTTCTTTCCCCCAAAGTTCTTTGCAAGATGGTCAAAGGATGCTGTCACTGTCCTCAGTCCTTTTGTTAAGAATGCAGAGAATGAGAGGCAAACAGGAGAAGCTGGGTGGCCCCGAGAATGCTCCATGAGATATATAATTGGGTGGGAATATCCAATTCACAGATGTAAGGAGAGGAAGGAGCCCAGGTTTCTATTCCTGGATTTGGTGTTTACCAGCTGGGAGATCTTGGGCAAGTTTCTTCACCTCCTGAGACCTCAGTGTCATCTGCGAAAAGGGGTTAATAACCCACTTTGCAAAGTTGTTGTGGGGCTCCCATGAGATAGCATAGGGCATAGCACCTTTTAAAAAGTGAGCCAGGAAGAAGTACCTATAAGCCTGCCCCAGGGATCTGGGGGAGGGCTGGGGTTCTCCCAGCCTGAGGCTCCGCATACTTGTCTGGGAGGGGCATCGGCCAGTGCCCAGGCGCTGTCCGGCTTCTTTCTCCTGTAGTCTCCTGTCCACCACAGCTCCCCTGGCATGAAAGGAGCCGCGTTTCCGACAGATTGGCCCAAGCCCACATTGACAGCTGTGGAGGGGAGGGGGGTCCAGAGGAGCAGCCCCTTCTCGCCAGAGCTGAGGGGCTTCGGGACGGAGGGGTGAGCAGGCAGAGGTTACGTCCTCCTCCCCCTCCTCATGACCCAGGGCTGTTTGCCCACAGGGGCACGGTCCTGTACGCGGTGCCACCGGGGCCATCAGGCTGGGTTGGAGGAAGGCCCGACCTCCGCGCCGCAAAGAAAACAAACACAGATGTGTTTGGTTGGGATCAGGAGAGAGAAAATTGTCCCCTCCCCCCGCCTGCGCGCTCCTCGAGGCGTGGGGCTGGCGGAGACCTGCGGGACTCTCCGGGCAGCGCGGGGCTGGGGAGAGGCTGACAGTCCCCCGCCGGCCCCTCCTCCCTCCATGGGGTGCGCGCGGGCCCAGCCCCCTCTCCGGGGTTTCCCCGGGCGCTCTTCTCGCTTTCTCTTTGTCTCTGCTTCTTTATCTCGGGCTCCCCAGTTCCCACCCGCTTGCGCTCGGGCCCTCTCCGCGTCCCGGGCTGGTTCCCTTTAACTTTCTTCTTTCCCGGGGTGAAAACTTTGCTTGCGAGCGGGCGGCTGCTCGCCGACGTTATTGGCCGGCGCCCCGCCCGGCGGCCCCGTCCCGGCGCGAGTGGTGGCGGCGGCGGCGGCGGAGCCTTCCGAGGCGTGCGTGCGTGTGTGTGAGTGCGCGCCAGCAAGCGTGAGTGTGTGTGCGCCCCAGGCGCGGGCTGGGCAGCACTGCGACCGCGGCGGGAGCGGCGGGAGCCGGGCGGCCGCGTAGTCACTCGGGCGAGAGAGGCAGAGGCGGCGGCGGCGGCGGCCGGGCGAGGGCTGGGACTGGGGCAGCGGCGGCCGCGCAGGGCATGGAGCTGGCAAGCCCGCGCTGAGGCAGGACGCGCCTGCTAGCAGCGAGCGAGAGGCTCTCGCTGTCCCGCGTGCGGGCTCCCCGGCCGGGGCTGGGCAAACTTTTCTTTCTCTTTTGCCCTTTCCAGAGGTAAAGTCCTGAACGCGGACTCTCCGGCGGGGACGCGATCTGGGGCAGCGGAGAGGGACCCCAGGCTGCGGGAGGAAGGGGCGCGGGCCCTGCGGGATTGGAGGACCCCTGCTCTCTTGCACCGGAGACTTGGGGTGCTAAGCGGGCTGGCTGCGGACGGGCAGACGGGCGCGGGCATGCCCCTCGGGCGGCGTCGAGGCGGTGGTGGCGGGGAGGCCAAGCGTTCGTCCACGACCCCGGCTTGCTGCTTGGTCGGGAAGAAGCGCGGGCGGTGCGGGCTTGCGGGCCCCAGGATTCGCCTGCCCCCGGGACTCTGGGGAGCGAGGCGGGCGGTCAGCTGCGGGGTTGGTGCTGGGAAAGCTGGGCGTTCGCCTACGCCCCCGCTTTCCGGCCCGCGGGGCGGTGGAGGGCGCGGGGTGGGCTGGCTGAGCGCAGCTCCCCTCTCTCTGCAGGCGTCTTCTGCGGCGGGCGGACCGACTCCTCGGCGCGGCGGGGCCGGGGCAAGCTGGACGCAGCATGATGCGCGCAGTGTGGGAGGTGCTGGCGGCGCTGGCGGCGGTGGCTTGCCTGGTGGGCGCGGTGCGCGGCGGGCCCGGGCTCAGCATGTTCGCGGGCCAGGCGGCGCAGCCGGACCCCTGCACGGACGAGAACGGCCACCCGCGCCGCTGCATCCCTGACTTTGTCAACGCGGCCTTCGGCAAGGACGTGCGCGTGTCCAGCACCTGCGGCCGGCCCCCGGCGCGCTACTGCGTGGTGAGCGAGCGCGGCGAGGAGCGGCTGCGCTCCTGCCACCTCTGCAACTCGTCGGACCCCAAGAAGGCGCACCCACCCGCCTTCCTCACCGATCTCAACAACCCGCACAACCTGACGTGCTGGCAGTCCGAAAACTACCTGCAGTTTCCGCACAACGTCACGCTCACGCTGTCGCTCGGCAAGAAGTTCGAGGTGACGTACGTGAGCCTGCAGTTCTGCTCGCCACGGCCCGAGTCCATGGCCATCTACAAGTCCATGGACTACGGGCGCACGTGGGTGCCCTTCCAGTTCTACTCCACGCAGTGCCGCAAGATGTACAACCGGCCGCACCGCGCGCCCATCACCAAGCAGAACGAGCAGGAGGCCGTGTGCACCGACTCGCACACTGACATGCGTCCGCTCTCGGGCGGCCTCATCGCCTTCAGCACGCTGGACGGGCGGCCCTCGGCTCACGACTTCGACAACTCGCCGGTGCTTCAGGACTGGGTCACGGCCACCGATATCCGTGTGGCCTTCAGCCGCCTGCACACGTTCGGCGACGAGAACGAGGACGACTCGGAGCTGGCGCGCGACTCGTACTTCTATGCTGTGTCCGACCTGCAGGTGGGCGGCCGCTGCAAGTGCAATGGCCACGCGGCCCGCTGCGTGCGCGACCGCGACGACAGCCTAGTGTGCGACTGCAGGCACAACACGGCGGGTCCCGAGTGCGACCGCTGCAAGCCCTTCCACTACGACCGGCCCTGGCAGCGCGCCACCGCCCGCGAGGCCAACGAGTGCGTGGGTGAGTGGGGTTCCGCGGGGACGGGGGCGGCGGGCCGGGACGCGGTCAGCTTCTTCCGGGCCTCGCAGCCACGGGTTCTCCGGAGCCCGGGCGGCGGCTGCACCCGAGTATCATCCACTGCGGGAATGGTGGGAGGTGCGTTCGGGATATCCTGGACCTGGGCGGGCAGAGAGCAGGTCCACTAGCTTGCGTGGCGCTGGAGGTAGACTCTCGGGTTTGCGCCCAGTGCGCACTGCGAAGCCGAGAAACACGAGAAATGCTGCGGGGAGAGGGTTTTGCAGAAAATTTGCCGACTTGTCCCCCTAACCCCGAACCAAATGCAAGCACTTATTGCCTTCCCCTCAGTTTGGCGGGACCCTGGGATTCACCACCCGCCCCCTCCCCAGGGCTGCTGCAGGGCGCGCTGTTGGGGATCCCGGTCCGGTTCCCGGGAAGTTCCAGCCCCACTACCACAAATCCCTTGGGAGATGGCAAAGAGATTTGCAGTTTGGGGCCAGTTCGGTACCCGACGAATATCATTCCTGTGCCCTCCATTTGTCTTTTATGGTTTGAAAAACAATTTTTTTCTTTTGGATAGTGCGTTTGTGCTAGCAAAAGAATGATGTGATTTAAATTAATTACTATCTACAGATTACAAAGGAGAGTTCAGTAATTACTTGAAACTAATTCAATCCTGGTACAAAAAAGTATACCAGATTTTTTTGTTAGTGTTAGTGTTTGGTGAAATTAAACAGTTTTGAAGTAACTGAGGGTCCACATTCTGTCTTTTTAATGGGGTTTAAGTTCCTGAAAGAGAAATCTGACAAAACCGGCACTGGCGAATATGTTGGCTCAGAAATGAGGCTTGAAAAAGGGATATGTTCTGTTTCTGAATTGTACAACTTTGCTGCTGTAGAAACTCTCAGGCATCAGTTTCTGGGGGGGGGGCGGAGAAAAGGAGGGGGAGGGTAGTAGACAATACTTTTCCAGTATGAGATGTAAATTTCCAAAATCCCTAATTTTAATGAAACTTATTTAGATCGTAAAGCACCATTTGGCGAACATCTTTTGTGAACAGATAGATTTTTTTTCCTTTCCTCCCCTAACCCCCCAAATAGCCACTGTGAGTCTCTTCAATTGCTTCACCCTCTGAGGCACATTGCAGAGTTTGCTGGTCCCCACAAACACACGTTTTGAGGTCTGGTTCTGATTAATTGTGTCATGTTGTTGTCGAATAGTTTGTGCCTCATGACTGCGGATGCAGACTTTTGAGCAAGCGAATGGAAAACATGTCTTGGAGAGCCGGGTGGGCACTGAGGCCCAGTCAGGCGTCCTGGTCTGCAGAGGGCTGTGCCTCCTGTTGCATGGCGGGGCCTCCATTTTTGCAGTCAATGTGTCCCGCTTTTGCAGACCTAATTGTTCTTCCTCCTCCTTTAAGGGATAGAACTGGTTGCCAGTTTGAAGAGACTTTTCAGGATCACGCAGTGAGATAGTAGTTACACCCGGGGTTAGTGTTCTTTGAGAATAAAATTCCTTTGATCTGCTCAACTCCTTCAGAAATGTTGGTTTTTCCCATCTCTTCTTTCCCCCCTTTCCTCTTTTCTTCCTTTTGTGCGTAGAAACCCTGTATTGACATTCCAAGGGCCTCCCAGGGTTTTGCTATCAGTTTTAGTTTGTATGTGCATGTGAAAGATACCTTCGAATTGTCACCAGCAGGGTCTAATTGGACAAATGCAAGTGAATAATACATTGAGGCAAATAAACTGGATGTTGTGGTAACATTTTACTGGTTTGAAGATTATTCTTAGCGTTAGTATTTTTCAGGTTCACCAGCCACTCCTGTATCTCCCTGACACTTTGGATGTGGAGGCATAGCCTGTATTTGCTATAACAATGATCATGCATTTGAAATAACCTCTATGTTTAGGATTTTGTATTTTGTCAAAAGCACTAACTATGTGCACAAATTGGATTGACCATTTTTTAAAAGCCAAATTGAGCAATCAACGTATTAACTAATGTAATTAGTAAGCCTTTTTGCTCAAAAAGTTTAATTAGGCCTAATAAGTACATAATCTACATGACAAATAATCAGCTATTTTCTTGTTTTTACTGAGGTTATTTTAATTCTCAGTAGTTAAAGTATCTTTAAGTGTTGCCAATTATTCAGTCATCTTATAAAAACAAAGCCAATTCAACTATGTTAAAGTTATTTAGTTTCCTTTTTGAATAGATGTTCTGATACCTTGTAGATACAGCCCGGGAAAGTCATGTTGCAGTTTCCATAAAGTCTTAATTAAAGTCTTAGTGATTTTTCCATCATTCTGCGAAAGAGAAAGCCAGCAAGGACAATTTAAAAGTGATTTACAATTAAAGGTCGAGCTTTTTATGAAAAGGCCCTGTAGTGGAGATATGTGAACGAATTAGTATTTGACAGGTGCTCTGAGACACTACAGGGCACTGTGCTAAGAAAAAGCATTAATAAATCCTTCAAACACTAACTTTTGTACTATCAGCAGCTCAGATTTTACCCCTCAACATAATCCCATTTTGTGAATCTCACACTGTTGACGTATAAAGTCAAACTACCCAGATTATTTACAACTAAGGCAAAGTAAAGAAGTGTATATTTTCTCATTCCAAAAATCAGTCTTGATAAAAAAATGAAGCATTGTCACTGTGCTATTTGGTCTTTGCCTTTATAAAACAACGAGACAATTTATAATCGACTAAAATGGCATCTTTTCCCAGGTTAACTCCGCCAACCCAAAACTTAAAACAAAACAAAACAACAACTTTGATATTATCATTTGACTAACTGGCTCTTTTACATAGGGCCAAGGTACTTTCAGATTACTAAGAAATGCATATATCCTATAGGTTTTCTTCCATCAAGCTTTCTTTTTGGTGTTGTTTTAAGGTTGAGTTCTCTACGGAATAAATGTGAACTTTTGTAAAGCCCAATTTTATTATAAATGCAATTTTGGATTTCTTCCGGAAAAAAACCCCCAAAACCTCTCAAAACAATATGAAAGACAAGACTGTGTATAATGTTACAGCCTCGACAGCTCTCAGTGGAATAACTAAATACTTTCTTCCGCTCATATGTATCAGCAGTGTTCACATGATTTTATACACACGTGCGCTTGCATTCATGGTGTAAAGAAGCATCCATGCATGGTGGGGGGGCATGTATACATTCAAGGGAAAATGCATGAACGATTTTAAACCACCTGGGTTGCTAGGCCATTTTTGCCTGCCTCTCTCTCTTTCTTTCTCTTTCTTTCTTTCCTTCCTTCTTTCTTCTTTCTTAAGAGCATCTGAAGACCATATTGTGTTTCATAAATTATTGACATCAGTTTTAATCAGTGTCCCCCTGATGTCGGAGCTGTGTTAGTATTTAGTGCCTGACAAAGCATGCTGTTTAATCTTACTGTGGGGATGTCAGCATGAACCCCTGCCTGGTTTGTGACAGGGTGAGCTTATGAAAACTCGTTTTGCGACTCACTCTATGGCTTTGCATTGCCCAGCTGAAACCCAAAACCCACACAAAAGACGTCTCTGCAAGATGAGCACCGTGCTGGGCTGGCCTCCTATGGTCATGGGTACCTGCAACATAATGCTCGTAATTGTTTAAACATGGCTTTGGGAGGGAGTTCCTTATGCTGTAAATGACTCTGGTGTTTGGGCCTACCATCATCCCCAGCAAGAGAGGGAAGTTATATTGGTGGTCTTGCCATGAGACATCTAATGCCCTGCTAAAGACTCTTGCAAAAGCAGAAGACTAACATTATTTGCTGCCTAGTCCAGAGCCTGGCACCTAGCTGTACATCAGTGAATGTTTTTATAGTCATAGTAATTATTATAATTATTGTCATTATGACGATTAACTCTTGAGGGCTAATTTTTTGCCAACCACTCACATTAATTTAGTCATTTAATCATTGCAACCAGGCTAATAACAGGGACTATTATTGTTTCTGTTTTACAGATGAGGAAACCATAACCCAGAGACATTAAATGGTTTACCCAAAGCCTAAGCTATTAGTACTACATACCCGTACAGCTAGTAAGTGGCAGAGCTGGGACTCCAGCCTAGTGTTTATGCTTTGTTTTATTGCAGCCTCTGTGCTACCTCCACATAGGATGGATGATGGATGGATGGATGAATGAATGGCAGTTACATATCCATATACAGGAGAAAAGTTGGAACAACCTGTTACTTCTTGCTAGAACTACAGGTGGTTCTCATGTTATATTATATAATACTATCTTATATTACATTACGTTTATTATATTCATACATGCTTAAATATGAAATTATATATAAGAAGTCGTGCTGTATTTTAGCCATCAGGCCTAGTGGGAACTGGGAGTTAGGAATATAAATGAAGAGGGTTTAAAGACTTTCTTGTGGTTTCTCAGCATCCACAGGTGTTGCTGACGGCCAAGTCTTTCCTGATTCCAGGGCCTGTGATCTCTCTCAAAGGTGGTAGACTAGAGCTCGTAATCAGAAAATCCTCTTTAATGATGCCTTCTGAAAATCTTCCTTAATAAGGCCTTCTCCTTTCTCCTTAGTACTCAGAATCCCGTTGTCTCTCTGGAACATACTGAAGAAAATCTTGGCAGTGGCTAAGGAGTGTTGTTGTTACAGAGAGGACTTTAGTGGCATATCCTGGTCACTGACATGGTGCTGGTGGGGGCAGCTAATGTGTGTCAGCAGCACAGGGCTGTCCGTTATCTCTGTTGGCCCCATGGCAGCTGGAGGGAAGGTCTTGCCTGGGTCCTCACCAGCCTCCCCAGAGACGAGAGACAGAGTCGTGTCAGGGCCAGGGCGAACCTTGTGGGGCGGGGCTTTGCGTTTCCAGGCTCCGTCGAGCTCTCCTTTGGCCCCGCCCAGACTTCTCTCTGACCTCCTCCTCCTCCTCCTGAAGAAAAATGAGATCCTCGGAAAAGTATTTGAGACGTTATGTCCAGAGAAAATATTGGAAAGGCAGTGGGTTGAAATTCAAATGTTCCCT